ATGAGAAGGGCTGGCGAGGTGGGCTGGGAGAGGGCGGAGGGGCAAGCAAGAGGGAGCAGTGGCTTCAGCACCTTCGGGGATTTCTCCTTGGGCGCCAAGGTTGCAGAGGGTCAGCCTAGGGGTCAAGGCATCAGAAATTAGGAAGGAGGAAGGGATGCCCAGGATCCTGAGGGCCACCCAGCGCTCCAGACTCTTTGCACGAGGACACTTCACCTGCTACACTCCCGAAGGGCAAGCTGTTTATAGATGAAATAAGCTGAGGGCCTGGAAGATTTGCTGACTGGCCTGAGATGGCACATAGCTGGAAATGACCACGTCCACTGCTCTGGGGGCTGCCTCGGGAATATTCATCAGCAGAAGGTCTGTGCGCCCAAGCTCGGCCATGGCAAGTTCCTATTTTTCTGGGAGAAAAGATGTGTTGGTGCTCAGATATCTCACGACCAAGATCTTTGGAAAAAGACTTCCATGCTTTAAATTAAAAAAAAAAATAGCTTTATTGTTCTATAATTGAAGCACACACGTATTTAAAATTCGCCAATTTTAAGTCAACAATACAATGAGTTGGACAAATGTATATAGTCACGTGACCACCATGACAATCCAGTCCCCTCTCCACACCTGGGCTGGGAGGGCCAGGAGAGTCCCCTGGGGAGGGAGGGAGCATGGAGGAGGAGCTGAGGGCCAGGCTCCTCGGGCAGGCCCTGCCTCTTCCTTCTGCACACCCGAGAGTGAGGGTCCCCCTCCGTTGGTCCCACGTGGAAGCTGTCGCCCAGCAGCGAGTGGCCAGCTCGGGGGCGCACAGTCAGAACACAGCAGGGCTAGCTCGGACCCCAGGCGTCCTGCCTGCAAACTGAAGCCTTTTCTCCTCACCCAGGCAAGGGTGGGGGGGGTCAGTGCTGCCCCCTCCAGGAAGCCCTCCCTGGTTCCTGTGGGGCACACTGTCCCCTCTCCTCTGTCCTCCAGGAGCCTGGTCCTGGGGGTTCGTCAGGAAGGTCCCAGCTCGAAGCCCAGATGGAGCCAGGAGGAGACAGCTCAGGCCCCCGCTACTGGAGTCCCTGTGCCAACCCACCCTCCCCAGTGTCCCCGTCCCCACCCCCGTCCCTGGGTCCTGTGGTCTCCACCACAGATCAGATGGGCACAGCGGCCCAGCCCAGGACAGGCCTATCCCAACCGTCATCTGTGCGGCCAGGGTCTGATGACCAAGCTGATTAGGGGACCCTGGGACTTTCCTGCCTCCCCCCTCCCTGCCAGCTCCAAATCACAGGCGGTGTTGTGGGTGCCTCTGAGATCCCCTCTTAGATGTGGGGAAACTGAGGCACAGGTGGGGGGAGTGACCTGGTGATCCACCAGGATGTGGCTTCTCGGGGCATAGACTTGTCCCCTCCCTGCCAGCACTGGGCCCCAAGCCGCGGCTCAGAAGTGTGTGTCCCACGTTTGATGTGACAACGAATAAAGTGGACAACAGCACCACCCTCTGTGTGCGGGGCCTTTGCTGAGCTTGTGGTGGCCACACACCAGGGAGGGGGATCTTCCCCGGTCAGCCCAGAACATGGGGAGCAGGGTTGGAGTCCAGGCTGCCCCTCCCAGGGCCCAGGAGGCCTGCTGTCACCCACTGTAGGGGGCAGGGGCAGGTCTGGAGGAACCCAGGTCCTCTTCCCCCTGAACCCCCAGTGCCATCCATGGGTCCCCACAGGAGGGACCTCAGGGCACTCACGTGTCCTGGTTCTATTCTCCTGCAGCACTGGGGACCCCTCTCCCCCTGCACCCATCACGCAGCTCTCTGCAGAGCCCGCGATGCCCCCAGGATTCCAGGCCTGCTGTCAAGAAAGAAACTCCAGACACTGTCCGAGTGGCCCCCTCGATGACTCTGTGACACGGTGCCCTTTCTCTCCCCGTTTGTCAGGAGAGCAAGCTCAGGCAGAGGGGGCATCCCGCCCTGGAGGGCCTCCCCCGTGCCCTGGGATGGCACTCCTGGCCTGGAGGTCTCCCACAGCCCAGCAGAAATGGTCATGTGGGTTTGCGTGGCGACCCCCTCGGGAGGACCCCTGGACATTCCCATGTCTTGGACGGGACCCTCCTCTGGGCCGCCCACCCCAGCACCAGCCGCTCCCATGGCTGAGGCTGCCTGTGGACCCCACCAGGAAGGGCGGACCTGACCCTGCCTGGCGCAGCCATGCTCACTTGTGTCTGTAACAGTGGCCGCACTGAGATGGGTCCGGTTTGAGGGACATGAGGACACCCCAGGTGTAAGTGTTCCCCAGCCTGCTCCCCTCCCCCACCCCAGGCAGCTCAGGTCTGCGGCTCTGGGTTCCAGCGCCCAATCCTCGTCTTCCCACCCCCACCCTGTCCACACTGAGCCTTTCCCCTGAAATACCCCTCCCTCCACACTCCATCCAGCCCAAGGCCAAGTGATACAGGCTTAAGAAAGTTCTGGAAGTCATCACCCCAGCAATGGAGAGTGATGGTCCCTGAGTAGGATGGGGGAGGAGGAGTGAGGGTAGGCTTTTGGTTTCTTCTTAACATGTTGGTGTCTTACAAGGGTTTGTGGGGGGCGTGTATAATGTTTGTAATTAAAAATGACTTCTGGATCCAGAGGAAAGCTGAGCGGCCTCGGCGCCCGCGCTGTTACCAGGTTTCCCATCAGAGTCGGAAGCTGCAGGAGAGTCTGACTGGGTGGAGCCAGGGCCCGGGACTCCTGTGCCTTGGGAGGTGGACTCCGGGTGCCCCTCCGTCCCCTCCCTGGCGGCTGCAGGGGCAGGAGTGGGGGGGCTGGGCCGGGCTGGAAACGCAAAAGAGCCTCCTGCCTCGGTTGTTCTAGAGCCTCGCCTGACACGGACGCCAGCCTGGAGAATTAGGGTCAGAGTGTGTGTGCGTGTGTGCATAATCAAATCCTCAATCTATAAACACAAACACCTCCAACTTTAAAAAGCAAACAAAAGAATTTTCAGCAACTGTGGAAAACAAAGGGTTAATGCATCCATTCAGTTAAGAATCCCAAAATGATGAAAAGAAACCCAGAACTCTAAGAGCCTAATTGACAGAGGAGGAGCAGAACCGCCAGAGGAACAAACTGCTGACCAATGCGGGGCGTGGCCAGCTCCCCAGGAAGGAGAGAAGTGTAAACAGCAGACACAAACAGCCCGGGGACGCTGTTCCTTACGAGAATTTCAAAAGTTGAATGCATGTTGTGCTTTTTCCCCATAACGCAGCATCTGACACTTCTGTTGTGTTATGTCTTATGTATCACGTGTCATATCTTATGTATCACAGACAGGGTGTTACAGGTTGTTAACTCCACCCACGAGATATTGTGTCTCACGTTTGTATCCAATATTGGATTCAAAGAAAACCAGGCGGACAGAAGTTGAAGGGGTGAAGGCACGTTTTCTTCAGACTATGAGACGGGGGGGGAAGGCGACCCCAGCGCAGAACTGGGCTGCGTTCTGGACACAGTGGGGACAGCGGGGAGGGGAGCCGGGAGCAGGGGGCCGGTGGACAGGGCACTGCCAGGAGGTCTGGGCGATTCTGGCTGAACCAACCCAATGGGGCTCCGGCCCACAGAGGCTGGCACGGTTGGTACCAAGGGCGGCAGTGACGGATTTCTGTCAGATAGTGAGGGTGATCTGGGACCAAGGGCCGGGGATTCCTGCTACCCTGACTCAGAGAGTTCTTGCTAAAACTGGATTCTCCCTGGAGGTGCCCAGACGGGCCCATGAGAGGGTCCAGGAGCCTGACTCAGGCTTGGTGAAGCCGAGAATCTTCATTGCTGGCTGGTGATGAAGGGAGCTCAGTGACCCATGGCTGGGGGGAGGAGAAACGGGAGCGAGCCTGGTAGAAACAACGCAGCATTGCCCCGTGGCAGCTCTCGGGACATCTGCTCTAGACTCCATGGTCCCACCAGGGAGCAGCCCAGGAACCCAGACAGTACTCGCGGCCTTCCGTACATGAGCAGAAACAAGGATGTGCACACGTTTCTGCAACTGAGAGGTGTGAACACATCTCAGTAAAAGAGATTGGACACAGGCGCGTCCATTAATGAGATGGAACGGGGCAATCTCTGGGGACCAAGATCTGACAATAGAAGGTCGGCCCTCCCCTGCCAGCAGGTGTGTGCTCCCTTCACGAGCAGGTGCTCAGCCTCATTAACAGTCGCAAAGAGGCGATTTAAAACCTCTGTAATCTTCCGCTATGCCCATGTGAAAATATTGAATGTTGGCCTGCATGGGATGTGACGGTCATTCTCCCGAAGTGCTGGAGGGGGCGTGAGGGAACAGCCCCTTCGGAGATGAGTTTGGCATCGTCTAGAAGATGGATGACGCTCACACCCCAGTTCTCAACAGCCTCCTCGCTGGCTCACGCCGCAGACATTCGGGGTTTGTGTGCAGGCACGGTCACCTGGTCCTAAGACCCCAGTGGGGACATCCTGAGTCCCCAGTAGCAGCCTGGACAACAGGCACCACTGGGGAGTCCAGGTGGAGGTGAGAAGCGATGACACCTGCTACAGGCAGCGGCTCGGGAGACCATCACAGACATGCATGCAGGCACAGGTGGGGCTCAAAAGAGCGTTCCCATCGATTACAGTCACACAAATGAGAAAATGGGGCCAAAGAGCCATCCTGCACGGCCCATGCCCAGTGTGGGCCTGCAGGGAAAGGGGAGGATGATGGTGTGAGGGGCAGGAGGGTTGCGGGGAGTGGGGGCTGGGCTCCACATCCTGACCCCCTTGCTGGGTGCCTGGGTGCCCGAGAATCATCTTTTCAACGGTCCCAGTTGCTCTATGTGTCCCGAGTGCACGGTGCCACTCTCCAAAGGAGACGTGAGCCAGCGTGCTGAGAAGCGGGCCTGGGACACAAGGGGCTGGGGAGGGCCCACCCCCACGGCAACACCCAGAGCTCGAGGGCTGGACCCCCGGGGACAGTGGCTGCGCCCGGCCGTGCCCTGCACACCCTTCCTCTCCCTCAGTGACACCCCCAGGCAGAAACAGTGACGGCCACAGCTGCTTTCCATGCTCTTTAATGAGGACCAGTGTCCATGCCTGCTCCCTGGGCCGTGCAGGGAGGTGGCTCTGGGCAGGGGACGGGAAGGACACCACCTGGACAGGAAGCAGTGGTGTGGGGACAGGAGGGGGCTGGCTTCTCTGCTGATCCAGGTGGCAGCCCTGGGGACGGGGCTCAAGAGTCCTTGGGGACATACTGGTAGATCCAGTCCAAGTAGTAGGTGACACGGGTATAGATGCCCGGCCGGTTGGGCTGAGCACAGCTGTTGGCCCAGCTGACCACGCCCGCCTGCAGCCAGGTGCCCTTCACCTTGCACACCAGGGGTCCTCCGGAGTCGCCCTGGGGAGGAGAAGGGTCAGCGGTGGCTCAAGAGGCCAGGGCGGGTTGGGGCTGCGGGGGGACACGAGGGCCCACCTGGCAGCTGTCGTGCCTCCTATTCCCTGCACACAGCATGTCGGCCTGGACAATCCGGATGTTGTCCCCCGTGGACACGCCAGTGTGGTATTTCCTGTCACAAACGCTGTTTTCCACAATGGGGACTTTTACTTCCTTCAGGGGAAACGGAGGTGGCAGACTGACTGGGGGGTGAGGGGGAAGAAGGATCAGCAGGCAGGGCGGGGGCACTCAGAGACCCTGTCATCACATGGCGCGGGGGCAGAGGGATGATAACAGGAGCGAAGCTGGGCGCCTGCTCTGGGCCAGGGCCTGCCAGCTGCGGGACTCGCAGGGGCGAACACTGTGGCTCTGGCCCCTCCTTCCCGGGGCTGGACCAGGATCCTCCCGCTGTGGGGAAGGGAAGGGCGGGCCGCTGGGGGCTTGCCGAGCCCAAGCCCTAGTTCCACCCAGCTCTGCCTCCTGCCAGCCCTCGGCCCAGGCCTCAGGTGTCCCCTCTGTGCATGGGGCAGTCAGACAGGATGCTGCCTCTCCATCGGCCCTCCGGCAATGACACACTCAGCTTCCCGTGTAAGGCCCAGGGGGCACACCACAGGGCACCTGCTCCCCCAAGGCTTTGCTCTGTACTGTGGGTAAAACGGGGACCAGAGCTTCTAAGAGAAGTGAAGGTGGTTGTGCTGGAGGATGAGCCAGGGCTGCAGCCACCCCCACCAGCACTCCACCCGGGGCAAGACCCTGGCTCCCTGGCGCCCCGGTCCCCTCATCTGTGCACACAGGGACACGATGTCGGCTACCCCGCCCAGTAGTGGGCATTGTTCCCTTTCCCTTAACAATAATAAGACACTTTATGTGTGCCGCTTCTCTGTGTCCTCAGATCACATCCAGGAAATACCAGCTGTGACTGTACTCATTGCCTGCAAGGAGAAACTGAGGCTCAGGTGCGCCGAGTGACTTTCCCAGGCACCAAGAGGGGTGGCACTGGGTCTGATGGGCTCCCAGCCCCTGGGCGTGGCACATGCTGCCTCCCACCGCCTCTCCCCCTTCCCAGAGTCTGCAAACTCGCACTCCCTGAGCCAGCCCTGCGGGACCCTGTCCCCAGAGGGACCCCCTGGGGATGGGCCATGGGTGTGACCAGGTCCCCGCCCACCCAGCCCTCCCGCTGTCCCTGATATTCACCTCCATTGTCGACATCGCCCCAGCCTGTCACCCAGCACGGCGTCCCCGGGGGGAAGGTCTCAGAGGCAGGGGGCAGAGTGACCACCTGGACATGGCTGGAGATGTTGACAGGGTCCTGGAGCTCCAGCAGGGCAATGTCGGCCCCGTTCTCAACTGTGTAGTAGTAGGGGTGGGGGAGGATCCTGCTGACGGGCAGCAGCTGGTCTCGATAATAGAGGTGCTGCTCTCGCAGCTGCACCCTGATGTCTCTGAAATCTTCAATGTCCCTGGGGAGAGGGGGCCCCAGCTCAGGGTCCTGCGCCACCTCCTGGACGCCCCTTGGCGGGGATCCCCGGGATGGCCCCCACCCTGCCAGGCCCCGTGGAGACTCACGGTCCAACACAGTGCGCCGCCGTCAGCACCCACTGGGGGTGGATGAGGGAGCCCCCGCAGAAGTGTTTCCAGTATTCAGTGTTCTTTCTCAGGCTCACCTGCCAGGGCCACTTGCTCCCAGAGGCCTCCTGTCCTCCTACGATGCCCTCTCGCTCCAGGGCCTGGCCTGGGGCTGGGGCAGGAAGCGCCTTCAGGACAGGCTACAGTCCGGGCCCTGGGCTCGGCTGTTCCCTGGCCTGCACATCCCTGGGTTTCCCTGAACCACCCTCGGGCCTATGGGGTGAAGGGGCAGGCCTCAGGGGTCAGGGCTCACCAGGGGCCGCGTGGCCCAGGTTCACCAGGAGGGCCAGTGCCAGCACCAGCAGATTTGGCATCTGGAAGGAGGAAGTAGGGGCAGCATGAACCTGGCTGGCGGCTGGGCCAGGCCCGAGGTCTGCAGGGTGTGGGGTGCCCGTGGAGTTGGGGCCCCCGGGGACTGGTGGTCAGCCCAGGCCTGGGAGCTGGGGTCTCAGTGCTCCGGATCTGAGGCTCGGCCACTGTTCTGCACAGTGACACTTGCATCTCGGGGTGTTGGTGGGGGCCCTTACCTTGGCTGGTCCCTGCTGCTGTAGACCCAGCCCGCTCTCCCCTCCTCTTTTATCCTTCCAGACCAGGATGGGGTCAGAGGAGGGGCACTCCGTCCTCCAATCCAGAGTGGAGGAAGTGGTGATTCAGACCCAGGGTCCGAGAACCCTGAGCCAGGAAGGGGCCCTGCTTCCCCAGCCTGGGGTGACAGACCCAATTCCCCTGGGGGCGGAGGATTCCAACCACGACCATTTCTGGGTCTTCTCTGAGCAGTTCCGCTGATGGCAGCGGTACCCTATTATCTGGGGGATCTGAATGCCACCAGCAGAGAGAGAGGCAGAAGGAAGCGATGGTGAGATAACAGAAGACACCAGTGCCGGCCCTCCTTGGACACTCCCCCCCCAGGCCCCACCACCCCATCCCCCGTCCTCCGCGGCCAGGGCTGACCACTGTCCCTGGCTGTCCATCCTCCCCACCTCCTCACTCTCCCTAGGCTTGCTGGTCACCTGTGGCCTGCAGCCCAACCCACCCCACATAGTCCGTGGGCCATCCGTGGGCCCCTCCTGTGCCCTAGGGGAGCCTCGCTCTGCCCAGACACTGCTCGACTCCAGCCTGACTGGGGGCCACCTGCCCCCAGCTGTCTCCAGCAGCGTCCGTCCCAGGTGACGGAGCGCTCAGTCAGGCTGTGCTCCACATGGCGGGTTAGAAGTTTGCCTGTGACCTCAGTTCTCCTGTTGGGTCAAGAAAATGTATTGATTTGTGGTTCGTTCAGGGGTGTGACTGATGCCCTTTCCAGCCATCTAGGTCTCCGAGCCCACCCAGGTTGTGTGTATGGTGTAAGGTCAGGCCCAGGCTCTGGTTTTCCCATAGAGGGGTCTCACTGTTTCAGTGCATCGGCTGAAAGACTGTCCTTTACTCTCTGGATGACTGTGTCTTTCTAAAAAATCCGCTGGCCTCGCCTCTAACTCTGGACTCTCTCTCCAGTTCCGTTGATCTGTGTTTCTCCTGGTAAATGGGGCGTGCTGTCTTGATTGTTTGCTGAGAATTTCTATTCATCACGAATAGGTGTTGAAGTTCGTAAAATTCTTTGCATCTAAGGACATGATAATTGTTTTCTTTTTTGTGTTTTAACGTGATGAATTATGTTGACTGATCTTCGAACGTTAAACCAACCTTGCATTCCTGGGATGATTTGTAGCTGGCCGTGAGAGGTCATTCTTTTTATATTTTGAGGAGCTCGATTTGCTAAAAAAAAAAAAGCAACTAAAAACAAACAAACAAGGGGCTGGCCCCCTGGCCGAGTGGTTAAGTTCACGTGCTCCACTGCAGGGGGCCCAGTGTTTTGTTGGTTTGAATCCTGGGCGCAGACATGGTGCTGCTCATCAAACCATGCTGTGGCAGCGTCCCACATGCCACAACTAGAAGGACCCACACTGAAGAATATACAACTATGTACTTGGGGGCTTTGGGGAGAAAAAGGAAGAAAATAAAATCTTAAAAAAAAATTATCAAACAAACAAGAAACCAAAAAACTTCTCTTGGTCATGATGCACTATCTCCCTTACATATCTCTGGATTCAGTTTACTAATACTTTGTTGAGAATTCTTGCATCGATGTTGATGAGGGGTATTGTCTGTAGTTTCCTTTCTATTTAATGTCTTTGTCTTATCCTGACCTTATAAAATGCATTGGGAAGTGCTCCCTCCTATTCTGTATTCGGGAACAGATTATACAGACGTGGCATTCCTTCTTCCTTAAATGTTTGGTGAATTTATCTGCGAAATCATGTGGGTCTGAAGTTTTGTTTGGAAGGTTTTTGACTACAATTTTTTTTTAAAGATTAAGATTAAAGACAAAGATTTTTTTTTTAAAGGGGTGCAGGGCCGGTGCCTCCATGGCCGGGAGACCTTGGATGGTGGTGATGGAGCAGCTGGAGGGAAAGCCCAGGTCAGAGGGGCCGGCCTTGCTCTCTCCAGCTTCCTCCTGCCCTCTGCGGGTGCAGTCCTGTGGCAACACAGACCCTGGTCCAAACCCAGGCCCCAAACACGGCCCTCGATGGATCTGACCACGAGGACCCCTGCGCCCAAATAGATGGAGAGAGGAACAGTGACCGGGGAGGGTGGGAGAAAGAGCCAGAGGCTCTCGGGAATGAGGCCCATCGGGCTCTAAGGAGAGCTGGAGGCAAAGGTCCCCGCAGGCGGGACCCTCATGTCCTTGGGGCCGAGAGCAGGGAGGGCCAGGATCCATCAGGTGAGGTTGGTGCTGAGCACCCCAGGGGGTCCCCACCCTGAGCGAGCCCTTGTGGCCCTTCTGTGGCTGGGAGGAGGCTGCTGGTGTAGCCCTGGCGGATAACAGGGTCACTCAGGAGAGACCAAGTCACAGCAGGATGCAGGCTGGGGGAGGGGAACAGGGAGGGGCTGCCGCCAGAGAGCACCTGCCTCTCCCCGGGTGCCCCAGACCCCTCCCCCCAGGATGGGCAAAGGGTGGCCTCCAGGGGGAAGCTCCTAACTGGAGCGAGATTCCGGGCAAGTGACTTCATCTCTTTGTGGGAGTTTCTGCATCTGACCACCCCGGGCCTTGGCGGCTCAGCAGGGCAGGGTTGGGTCTCCCGCCCTGGGGCTTTCCCCTCATCTGGCCTGGACCCAGGACGGTTTACAGATAGCAAAGATAGCAAAGGAGCATTGGCTCTAATCAGGGAGGGTCAGGGCTGCGGGGCCAGGATGAGGCAGAAGGGGGCGGGCAGAGGGGCCCGCAGAAGGTCAGCCCCTCTCTGTGGCCAGCCTGGGGATGGGCAGGTCCTGCATCCTCCCGAGGGGATGGTGCCCGGGTGGTCAGGCCACTGCAGACAGACACGACCCTGCACTCCCGGCCCTGGGGGCCTGGGCAACAGAAGACACCCCCCGCCAGGCCAGGCGGGCGTTGCAAGGCTGGGAAGGGAGGCCCTCTGGGCCAGGAATGCCCTCCCTCTGCCTCAGCTTGCTCTCCTGACAAACAGGGACAGAAACAGCACTGTGTCACAGAAACATCAAGGGGACCACATGGACGGTGCCAAGGCCGGCCTCACTGGCTTGCAAGCTGTGCCAGCAGACAGCCCCAAGCTCGGAGGGGCCTCACGCCCGGCTCACTGCTCTGCTGTCACCGTCTTGAAATTTGTAAGCATTTTTGAACAAGGGGCCCTGCATTTTCAGTTTGCACTGGGCCCCCCAAATTGTGGAGCCGATCCTGGCTGTGTACGTGGTGCTTCTCCGTAGACGGCAGCCGGCATCGAGCGGGCATCCAGGACTTTGCAGGAGCCATGGCGTCCTCGTTTCCTGTGGCTGCTGTAAGAAATTGTCACAAACTTGGTGGTTTTGATGACACACGTTTGCTATCTTACGGTGCAGTAGGTTTATATCTGACACGGGTCTCAGAGACTGAAGTCCAGGTGTCTTCAGGGCTGTGCTCTGTCTCGAGGCTGCAGGGGAGAATCTGGTTCCTGGCCTTTTCCAGCTTCTGGAGGCGTCCCCCACCCCGGCTTGGCTCCTCCGTCTTCACAGCCGGCCATGCCGCCTTTCTCTGACCCCGCCTCCACCATCATGGCCTCTTCGGACCACGGCTGGGAAGAGGCTCTGATTTCAAGGACTCAGCTGATGACACTGGGCCCACCTGGGTGATCCAGGCTCCTCTCCACCTCAGGGTTGTCGCCTTAATCTCATCGGCAAAGCCCCTTTGACCCTGTGAGCTCGTGTAATCACAGGTGCCCGGGCCTTAGGACGAGGGCATCTGGGAGGGGCCCGCCTTCTGCCTCCCACACGCGGGAGGGGGTGCGGATGGAGAGAGGCGTCCCCAGTGCTGGAGGTCAATAGAGTCGGGACAGGTGAGGGCCCTGAAGTGCCCTCCTGTGGGGACCTGGGGGTGCCACTGAGGGGTCCAGCAGGCAGAGGACCTGGGTTCCTCCAGACCTGCTCCCACCCCTGCACTGGGCGACATCAGGCCTCCTGGGCCCTGGAGCGGTAGCCTGGGCTGGGGAGGCACCCAGAGGGTGGTGCCACTATTGATTTCATCGATCATCTGGGCAAACATGGGCCAGACACTTATGAGCCGTGGCTCTGGGCCTGGTGCTGGCGGGAAGGAGACAAGTCTGTGCCCTGAGAAGCCACATCCTGGCCAATCAGGCAACTCCCCCTACCTGTGCCTCAGTTTCCTCACATCTAAGAGGTGACCACTGACCTAGAGGGTGTCAGAAGCTCACAAGCCCGGCCTGTGATCTGGAGCTGGCCAGGAGCTGGGGGAGGCGGGACAGTTCCGGCCCCTCTCGGGCCCCCTAATCAGCTCGGTCATCAGGCCCCGGGCAGAGGACAGTTAGAGCAGCTGTGCCTGTCTGATCTGTGGTGGAGACCACGGGACCAGGGGATGAGGATGCGGCCGGGACACTGGGGCGGGTGGGTTGGCTCGGGGACTCCAGTCACTGGGGCCTGAGCTGTCTCCTTTTGGCTTGTCTGGGCCTCGAGCTGCCCTTCTGTATTTCTTTTTTTTCTTTTAAATATACTTTTGATTTTAGAACAGGTTTAGATCTACAGAAAAATTGCAGAGGCAGTGTAGACACGCCACAGCCCCTGTCCCCGGGCTCGTCATCATCAGCATCTCACACTGGGTGAGTCGTTGGTTGTAATAATGAGCCAGTGTGAAGCATTGCAGTAATAAGTCCACAGGTTATCCACATTCCCTCGGTTTCCCCTAACGTCCTCTCTCTGTCCCAGGATCCATCCAGGCCGCACACGACATTTAAATATCTCGTCTCCCTGGGCTCCTCTGGGCCAGGACAGTTTCTCAGGCTCCGGGCTCCTCCTGTGCACGTCCTGCCCTGGTCCTGGTGTCAGCCGTTCTCCAAGGAGCCAGGCTCTCATCCATGGAGGATGCCTCTAGGAGCGCAGGTCTGGGCACCGGGTGTGCCTGTCGCTCTTGGGGTGTCACCGCCTCGAGGCCCTCGGCCGACAGAGCGAGGGCTGTGTGCGAGCTCCCTGCTGTACGTGCACGGATCTGTCCACAGCTTTATGCGGATCCGTCTTTGTTGACATGAAGCTGAACACGACTTCAGACTCAAGTCTCCGGCTCTGATCCATCACCATGCGGATCATTCCGGCCTCCTCCCCTTATCTGCGACCTCTCACCCCTCTCCACCCACTGCCTGAATCCTGCACTTCTCACGTCCTGTGCGGCGGTGTGGGAACCGACCCCTGTCCCCTGCGGGATGAACTCCATCAACCAGAGCACAGAGCTGTGCCAGGTTTGCCCACAGTCTCACAGTTGCGCCCATTCCCATAGTGACGTAGGGTGGCCCCTTTGTTCCCACCCCTCCAGTGAGGCTCTCACCCACGGCGATCAGCTCGACTGTCTGTCTCCTTCTGCGTCTGTATTCCTTTGTGTTGCCAGCTGGTGGCCCATCGCAGGGGTGCCCGAGGGCATTTATCCACTGGCCTGAGGGTAGGCTTCTGGCTGTCTCCTGTGTCGGGTGTTGTGAATTAAGCTGCTGTGAACACTACTGTTCATGTCTCTTTGTGGACGTTTCTGTCTCTCTCTGAATATTTCTTCTCACAAGATTATTCCTGGCCGCTCTGGACCTGCCCTGCTCCAGTCACTTCTCCGGGGCCCAGCTCCTCTCGGTGGTGAGTAGTATTGACGGACCCAGATGCAGGTGGTTGGCGTTGCTGATGGCACTGGGGGTTCCACCCGGACAGAGGTAGGGAAGGCATGTGTGCATGCACATACACATGCACACACGCACACACATGCTCACACATCATGTCTACAGTTCCATAGCTATACTGAAACCATGAACCCCCTCAATTCCACAGCGCAGGGTTATTCCAGCATGTTGTCCTGCCCTTTTGGTGTGAAGCCTGGTTCCCACCCTTAATCCACCGATTTATTGATCAATTCCCCCCCCCCACCTTGTCTCTTCTCTCCGACTCTCCGACTCTGACCCCCACTGGGACTGGCCAGCCCCCCGGTGCCACCTGGACTAGACCCTCCGTGTGTGTGCATGTGTGCATAATCAAATCCTCAATCTATAAACACAAACACCTCCAACTTTAAAAAGCAAACAAAAGAATTTTCAGCAACTGTGGAAAACAAAGGGTTAATGCATCCATTCAGTTAAGAATCCCAAAATGATGAAAAGAAACCCAGAACTCTAAGAGCCTAATTGACAGAGGAGGAGCAGAACCGCCAGAGGAACAAACTGCTGACCAATGCGGGGCGTGGCCAGCTCCCCAGGAGCTCACTCCTCCTCCCCCATCCTACTCAGGGACCATCACTCTCCATTGCTGGGGTGATGACTTCCAGAACTTTCTTAAGCCTGTATCACTTGGCCTTGGGCTGGATGGAGTGTGGAGGGAGGGGTGTTTCAGGGGAAAGGCTCAGTGTGGACAGGGTGGGGGTGGGAAGACGAGGATTGGGCGCTGGAACCCAGAGCCGCAGACCTGAGCTGCCTGGGGTGGGGGAGGGGAGCAGGCTGGGGAACGCTTACACCCAGGGTGTCCTCATGTCCCTGAGACCAGACCCATCTCAGTGTGGCCACTGTTACAGACAGTAGTGAGCATGGATGCGCCAGGCAGGGTCAGGTCTGCCCTTCCTGGTGGGGCCCACAGGCAGCCTCAGCCACGGGAGCGGCTGGTGCTGGGGTGGGCGGCCCAGAGGAGGGTCCCGTCCAAGACATGGGAATATCCAGGGGTCCTCCCGAGGGGAGTGCCATGCAGACCCACGTGACCATTTCTGCTGGGCTGTGGGAGACCCCCAGGCCAGGAGCGCCACCCCAGGGTTCGGGGGAGGCCCTCCAGGGCGGGATGCCCCCTCTGCCTGAGCTTGCTCTCCTGACAAACGGGGAGAGAAAGAGCACCGTGTCACAGAGTCGTCGAGGGGCAACATGGACGGTGTCTGGAGTTTCTTTCTCGACAGCAGGCGTGGAATCCTGGGGGCGTCGCGGGCTCTGCAGAGAGCTGCGTGATGGGTGCAGGGGGAGAGGGGTCCCCAGTGCTGCAGGAGAATAGAACCAGGACACGTGAGTGCCCTGAGGTCCCTCCTGTGGGGACCCATGGATGGCACTGGGGGTTCAGGGGGAAGAGGACCTGGGTTCCTCCAGACCTGCCCCTGCCCCCTACAGTGGGTGACAGCAGGCCTCCTGGGCCCTGGGAGGGGCAGCCTGGACTCCAACCCTGCTCCCCATGTTCTGGGCTGACCGGGGAAGATCCCCCTCCCTGGTGTGTGGCCACCACAAGCTCAGCAAAGGCCCCGCACACAGAGGGTGGTGCTGTTGTCCACTTTATTCGTTGTCACATAAACCTGGGACACACAATTTTGAGCCGCGGCTTGGGGCCCAGTGCTGGCAGGGAGGGGACAAGTCTATGCCCCGAGAAGCCACATCCTGGTGGATCATCAGGTAACTCCCCCCACCTGTGCCTCAGTTTCCCCACATCTAAGAGGGGATCTCAGAGGCACCCACAACACCACCTGTTATTTGGAGCTGGCAGGGAGGGGGGAGGCAGGAAAGTCCCAGGGTCCCCTAATCAGCTTGGTCATCAGACCCTGGCCGCACAGATGACGGTTGGGATAGGCCTGTCCTGGGCTGGGCTGCTGTGCCCATCTGATCTGTGGTGGAGACCACAGGACCCAGGGACGGGGGTAGGGACAGGGACACTGGGGAGGGTGGGTTGGCACAGGGACACCAGTCGCGGGGGCCTGAGCTGTCTCCTCCTGGCTCCATCTGGGCTTCGAGCTGGGACCTTCCTGACGAACCCCCAGGACCAGGCTCCTGGAGGACAGAGGAGAGGGGACAGTGTGCCCCACAGGAACCAGGGAGGGCTTCCTGGAGGGGGCAGCACTGACCCCCCACCCTTGCCTGGGTGAGGAGAAAAGGCTTCAGTTTGCAGGCAGGACGCCTGGGGTCCGAGCTAACCCTGCTGTGTTTTAACTGTGCACCCCCGAGCTGGCCACTCGCTGCTGGGCGACAGCTTCCACGTGGGACCAACAGAGGGGACCCTCACTCTCGGGTGTGCAGAAGGAAGAGGTGGGGCCTGCCCGAGGAGCCTGGCCCTCAGCTCCTCCTCCATGCTCCCTCTCTGCCCTGACAGCAGGTACATGGGCTGTTCCCCTCCCACCACCCCACACCCAGCATGTCCAAGGCTCCGGGTGGACCCTCCTGACACCTGCAGTGTGCAGACACCATGGTCCTGGGCTCTGGTGGCCTTCTGCTGCTCCTGGCCATGCTCGGTGGGTGACCCAGCCTGGGTGTGTGGGTGGGGGAATGGAAGGGGCACCTGTACCCCGTTGGCCTCCTCCTGGGGGTCACGTTATTACCCATCAATCCTGGAGCTGGAGCTTCTCAGCCAGACGGCCATCCCCCGGCCAGGGGGGCTGTGAGCCTTGGTGGAATCAGCATGAGGAGGGCTCTGGGCCAAGAGAGGGAGAGACCTGCCCATTGTGGGGCCCTCGTGGGACCAGCTCCCCTTCGCTGGGCAACCGGGTCATCAGGTGGGGAGAGCAGTGCATGTGTGGGGTGATGGCACCAGCCACCAGGGCCCCGGACCCCAGGTGAGTTCCTCCTCTGAGCCGGACCTGGAGGGGTGGGAACCAGGCGAGGCCGAGGCCTGAGGCTGTGCTCCGTGCCTCCCAGCTGTCATTTATGGCCCATTCCTGGTCCCACCCAGCCTAGCCAGGGATGACAGCAAGTTGATCCAGCGCTGCCTGGCCAGGCCCCATCTCCCCGGCTGGGACCCTGGCTCCAGTCGTTCAGGACAAGAGGATCCACCCCAGGGGTCCCTGGATGCCTGGTGGGCATTGCACTGGCCTGTGGGCCTGGAAGCCCCTTCTGGGGCTGTGAGAGGGGGGTCAGAGCCGGCCCCCCACCTCCCATCCCCCAGCCCCTTCCGTCTCTCATCCGTCAACCTGCTCCTCTGCCTCCTTCCCTAGGTGTCTCCTGCAGGGTCCTGCACCCAGAGATGTCCCCAACAGGTGTGTCAGGGGGGCGGGAAGGGCTGGCGTGAGGGGTCGCCTCCTGTGGGGCTTCAGCTGGGAGGAAAACCCCAGAGGTGAAGGGCCCTCCCTGGGGTCTGGGGTGGTGACGCGTCTTCGCACAGCCAGTCTCCTCCTGAACCTCTCGGTGAGGGTCTGTCCCTCCCGAAAGACAACCTCCCTCCCTTTGCAGTTAACGGAGGCTATGAAAACGCCTGCCACGTACCAAGCTTTCTCCCTGAACTTCACTGTCTATCGATGACTCTCATCTGAATCAATTACTATCGACCTGCCATGGGTCTTTCTTATTCCGTCATTTCACTCCCTCCACATGAACCAGCAGGCATGCCCAGGGCTGCCTTCCTCATGGGTTAGCCATCCAGCCATCACTCTTTTGTCCGTCTGTCTGTCACCTGTCTATCATCCACCTATTCTCTACTTATCTATCCATACCTGTCAATCATCCATCCAGCTTAGCTCTTTACATCAGTGTGGGCTCGTTATTCACCTCTGTGGATTATAATTTATTCTCATCATTATTTTGAAGCTCAAAATAGTCCATCCCAGGTTTGACCAGTGGGAATGCCTCCCAGTTGGCTCTTGTGTCTTAAGTGTTTTGTTTTTTTTTTCTTTAATATAATGAGGTGAAGTTCACCTAAGACAAAAAGAGCCATTTTAAAGTGAACGATTCAGAGGCATTTAGTGCACAGTGTTGTGCAGCCACCACGTCTTCTAGTTCCAGAACATTTCCATCACCTCGAAGGACCCCCCTCCCCACTAATCACTTGGGGCCTGTCCCCCCAGCCTCCTGGGTCTTTTGAACGGGTCCCCGTCATCCACTGAGCCCCTCCTTCCTGGCCCTTCCTTTCTGGCACAGCAAGATGCTCCAGGCTCACTTTGCGGGTGTCTGGACCCCGCTCTGGATGACCCCCTGGACCGAGACACCCTGGTTATGCTTTGTGGGGCACAGTGCTTAGAAACCCAGACGAGGGCACTCATACTCATGGCTCTGGGGGTCCTTTCTTCTCACCCACAATGCTCTGGGGAGCGTCTGGTAGACAGGGTGGTCAGGGAAGGCTTCCTGGAGGAAGCAGGCTTCTATGCATCTCCCACCAAGAACCTGCCTCCTACATCTTAGGGTGCGGCCAGCCCCAGGTTCCGAATGCAGAAGGCCGCGTTGTTGGGGGTCACGCTGCCCAGGCTGGCGCGTGGCCCTGGCAGGCCAGCCTCCGGCTACGGAAAGTGCACGTGTGTGGAGGGGCTCTCCTCAGCCCTCAGTGGGTGCTCACAGCTGCCCACTGCTTCTCCGAGTGAGTGTCTGGGGTGAGCGGAGGCAGCCTAGGGGCCCAGGCCTGCCCAGGGCAGGGGCAGACAGCAGAGGCCTGACTCACTCCTGACCTCTCTGGGCCTCAGTTTCCCCCTCAGTAAAAAGGGGGGAACCACATCACCACACACCTCGTGCAGCCCCAGGGTTCAGAGGGCACCCTCAGCTGCCAGACTCTGGTATCGGCCTCGGGAGTTTCTGAAGCCCGGCCAGTGCCAGGCTCCTGCGCGTCCTTGCACGCCTCTGGAGGCGGGCAGCTCCCTCCCACCCCGCCACCTATTCCTTCTTCACGTGGAGCAGTCTGTGGGGCTTAGAGCATCACTGGCCTCCAGCGCAGCCTGACATCCTCCCACCTGGGGACAGGGTCTCGTGTTCCCCTCCCCCCAGGATGCTTTTCAGTCCTTGGGGCCTGGAGGGCAGGGCTGCTGTCTGCTTCCAGGATCTGGCCTGATGTCCCCATATAAGCGGAGGAGGAAAGCTTTGGACATCAGGCCCTGGTGGGGGTGGGGAGGGGGGTGGGGTCTGGGCTCAGCCGGCCCCCTCACACCTACCTACTCTTCCCTCCCAGGTCCTTGAACTCATCCGACTACCAAGTCCACCTGGGGCAGCTGACCATCACTCTGTCCCCCCATTTCTCCACTGTGAGGCAGATCCACCTGTACTCCGGCCACCCGGGAGCACCGGGGTCCAGCGGGGACATCGCCTTGCTGCAGCTGAGTACCCCTGTGACGCTCTCCAGCCGGGTCCTGCCCATCTGCCTCCCCGAGGCCTCGGCCGACTTCCCCCCGGGGACACCGTGCTGGGTGACGGGCTGGGGCTACACGAGGGAGGGAGGTGAGGAGTCCCCACAGCCCCCGTGGGGATGGAGGCAGGCTGGACTGGCCCAGGGAGGCGCTGGGAGGGACGGTGCTAGCCAGCTGAGGCTGCCCCGGTAGCCCCCGTCCCAAAGTCTGTCCCATGTCCGCTCACACCAAGGTCTCAGCGTGTGAGCCACACCGTGTGAGGGTGTCTGGGGTCGCCACGTGCGGGTCTGCATCTGGGTGACCCTCACGTCGCAGAGCTGGTCTCTCTCTTCCTGCCCCCAGAGCCTCTGCAGTCCCCGTACATCCTGCAGGAGGCAGAAGTCTCCATCGTGGACACAGAGACCTGCAGCCGGGACTACTCTGGTGCAGGGGCCAGCCCCATTCGGCCGGACATGCTGTGCGCCCGGGGCCCTGGGGATGCCTGCCAGGTGAGCCCTGTAGGGGAGGCGGAGGATGGGGGGTCCTGGAGCCTGGCTAAGAGGCTCCCCACCTCCCTGGCATCCTGGTCCTCACCCCACTCTACCCCCAGGACGACTCCGGAGGGCCTCTGGTCTGCCAGGTGGGCGGGATCTGGCTGCAGGCTGGCGTGGTGAGCTGGGGTGAGGGCTGTGGCCGCCCTGACCGACCTGGGGTCTACACCCGCGTCCCTGCCTATGTGAGCTGGATCCATGGCTACATCCTGGCCTCAGGGGCCTCGGGGCCTGTGCGCCCTCAGCTCACCGGGCCCCCTCTCGTTTTCCTCGCCGGCTTCTTCCTTCCCGGCCTCCTCCTCCTCCTCGTCTCCTGCGTCCTGGTGGCCCAATGCTCTCTGCACAGGGCTTGGGTCAGCTCTCCCTCCCATCCAGCCTGTGACCGTTGACCCTGATCTGCACGACCTCCTGCGGTCAGCAGAATAACGCCCACTCCCCCCCCCCCCAATAAAAGATGTCCATGTCCTGATGCCCAGGACGCGTGACCAAATCCCCACAGGGCAAGGCCTCTGAGCCTGCAATTAGGACTAGGGAGCTCGAGAGGGGCATGAGCCCCGGTTACCGGGGGTCCCGGGTCATCAAAAGGGTTCTCAAAAGTGGTACAGTCCACACAGGAGGTCATAGACGCGACATGAAATGCACCTGACCCACCGTCACTGCCTTTGAGGTTGGGGGAAGGGGCCGCAAGCCGAGAAACTTGGTGGTCTCCAGGAGCAGGGCTGGCCCTCAATTTACAGCCAGCAACACAAGTGGGGCCACGTCCTACAGCCGCAGGAACGACTGACTCCTGCCAACAACCGGAAGGGCCTCTCCCTGGAACCTCCAGAAAGGCCGCTGCCTTGCTCTCACCTTGGTGCCATGACACCTGAGTCAGACACCCGACCTCCAGAACTGTCGGACGATAAACCTGGGTTGCTTTAAGCCACTACATTGCTGGCGATTTGCTGCAGCTGTTCCTGGCTGCAGGCCGGCGTGGAGAGCTGGGTTGAGGGCTGCAGCCGCCCTGACTGGCCCCAGGTCTACGGCCGTATCCCTGCCTCCTTACGGAGCCCAGGTCACCTCTCTCTCCCGCTTGGTCTCCAACCCTTGACCCATGACCCCCTCCTTCCTCCTGGCAGGGCACACGCTGCGCCTGGAGAAAGAGGCCTGCAGCAGCCCTGCTCCACCCAGCTCAGTGTCTTCTCCCCATGGGGAAACTAAGGCTTGAGGGGTGCAATCATCTGTCAGGGTGGCACACAGCAAGGTCTGCAGACCCCAGTGGTAGGCGTCCACGCTCTGTGCCCCCCATGCCCACCCTCGCAGGGCCTGGCCTGCTCCCCGGAGTCCTGCAGTTCCCCGTGTGTCCACCAGAGGGAGCCCTGGCACTGCCCTCAACACCTGCAGGGAGGGGCTGTGCAGGTGTGGGGTGGGGGGGGAGGGGAGCGGCGGGGGGGGGGGGAGGGGCGGGGCGGGGCGGGGCGGGGCGGGCCCCGCCCGCAACACTTACGTGCCCATGGAGTCAGCGTTACACAGCTGGGTTCTGACTGCAGGCCCGGACTCTGGGCTGGGGACTCACTGCCCACCCGGGTCAGAGCCAACAGGCCCTGGCCTCAGCCAGGAACAGCCCCCCACGGTGCCTCCCACCACGCAGACCACACTGGAGTGGCCATGGTGGGCCAGGCCTGCTGTCCAGCCACGGTGGGCTCCTGCTTGGCTACACAGAGGGAAGGGCCTGGAACCCAGCCCACAGCCGGCGCTACATTGGGCTCAGCTGCCAGCTGCCGTCCACAGGACCCTCGAGGGACTGCAAGTTCTCTTCTGTGCCTGATGTCACGGGGAGTACGGGCGTCCACGCAGCGGGGCTGTGGATGAGCCATGGACCCTGAGAGTCAGCAGGACGTGGGGTGGGGTCAAGGGTCAGGCTTTCGAGGTAGGGAGATGGCTGTGTGGGGTGCCCTAGACTGACTGCCCAGCCAGGAAACTATCCTCATGGGGGTCCCCCCACCTTGCCCGCACAGCACTTGTCCCTGCGGGAGCCTTGGCAGAAACTTCCTCCTACATGGAGTCAGACTTGGTTCTTCAGAGTGAATGGTGCCGTGTGGTTTGGCTGCTCCCGCTGGAGGGGAGCTTGCTACGTGTGGATCTGCCTAAGTGGGACCGCAGGAGGCAGGAGGCTTTGTGGACACCCAGGCCCTGCTGGGGGTGGCCAGCGCTGGAGCCAGGGGTGGGCGGCCTCACCCAGCTCCACCTTGTGCCCTCACAAGGCACCGGCTCACCACCCTCCCACGCAGAGGGACCCGTTCCGATGGCAGTAATCCACACATTTCTTAAATAAGTTAATGTTTATTCCGTTTTCCCCCTCCCCCTCCCCTTGACTTGAAGAGCCAAATTTTCTGAACCAGATTATTGCAAAGTTTAACCTGAATTTATAAAAGAAACGAAACAAAACGAGGGGCGTCAGTCAGCTGAGACCTCTCAGCCCGGCCCCGCGGCCACCCGTCGGAGGCGGGCAGGGGGGTCTTATTGCGCGGCTCCCACACCTTGGCGACCAGCCGCTTCCCAGAGACCCAAGTCAGCGGGTGTTTTCTGGAACACTGAGTGGACAGAGCGGTGGGGGTGGGCGTGGGAGGGGGGGGACGGAGAGACAGCGTGAGGGTGGAGACACATGGATGAGAACTCGGAGTGTGAGTGGCGGTGAAGCGTGGCCGCGGTGGCCTCGGGGACCGGGCCGCCGGCGACGATGGCACAAGTGGCCCTAAGCGCGTGTTCCCTATGAAACTAAGTGGTCGTGAGGACGGGCTCTGCTGGCTCCTCTGCCTTCCTTCTTTTGGTCATTTTCTGGCCCTCATCCCACAGATGCAACGCTCTCGTCACGGTACCGTGACCAGGCCACTTGCACGGCCTCAGGCCAGTGCAGCCAAACTTGGCAAAACTCAAACCTGAACCGACAGGACGGAGGCTCTCGGCCAAGGGGCCCCCTCTGAGCTCCACCTGGCCCGGGCCCTCGCCTCCCTCCCCCCGGGCTGTCGTCCGCTGGCTCCTCTGCCTCTGCCACGCGGCTGAGCCGGCTCCGCGCACAGCCCCACCGGGGGCTGCCACCTGCCAGGCGTGCCCAATCTCGGTGCCAAAGCATGTGTGGCATTGTGCCCCGAGCTACACGGGCTCGTCCACGCTGTCACCAGGGATGGGGGTGCCTGGGGGGGACCCCTCTTTCTTTGGGGGGCTTTGGGGCACTTGGAGGTGCAGCCCCTGCCCCTTCTCTGGGGGGTCACCGGAGGACATAGGAGGCTCTGTTCTGTGGGGTTCGGGAAGTGCTGTGGCCCCCGAGGAGGAACCTCTGGGCTCTGGAGACACATCGTGACCACCATCCAAGAACAGGTCCCCGCCGGTGCCCCCGACGCCCAGAGGGGCGTCGAAGACAAAGCTGGGGACAGTCAGGAGCTCCGTGCGGCAGGAGGCCTGGCCCCACCGCTCCCCCTTGGCAGCAGGGTCCACCCCCGGGCCCTCTGTGGGCTCCAGGGAGTCCCTGTGGGGCGCAGCCTCACAGGACGGCGTCCTCCGCCGCAGGGTGGTGCTGCCGCCCTCCGCTGCGGGGGGCCGGGCTGTGCCCTCCTCCTCTGCAGGGGGGTCTACGGAGATGCAGGGGGGGCTCATCTTCTTCTTCCTGCGCGCCCCCAGGGCCAGCTCAGCCTCCAGGGCTCGGGCCTTCCCCTCCCCGGCCTCCGGGCGGCCGTCCCCACTGCCCTGCTCCACTGGGGGCCGCCTCTGCTCGTCCGCCCGGCCTGGCTGGTCCAGGAAGCCCTGGGTGTCGACACCGTAAAGCCTGTGCGGGTCCGGCTCACTGCCCGCCACTCCACGAGCAGTGGGCGTGGGCGAGGGCGAGGCGGAGGGGCTGCGGGCCGAGCTGGTGATGTGGCTGACCTCTTCGTCGGCTGGGTCTGGGGCCTCGGCCTCCTCCCCACTGGGGGCCGGTGGCTGGCTGGAGACGCAGCGCTGTCCCAGAGTGTGCCTGCGGATGCGGATGCCAGGGGGCCGCGGGGAACGGGGTGGTGTCCGCAGGGAGGCCCCCAGGGACGCCTGCCTCACAGGGGTCTTCCCACCAGGCTCTCCCCAGCCAGGGCCGCTGTCCCTGGGGCTGTCGACCTGCCCTTCCAGGGAGTCGGTGGGGACGGCCTCCTGGAAGGGCATGGGGGTCAGGTGAGACCAGGCAGAGACTGGCTACCAGCCAGGGGCTCAGGGAGCCCTCCCTACCCCAAGGCCAGGGTGGGGTCTCAATCCCCCAAGACTAGGGACCCAGGGTGAGACGGGGCTGGAAGCCCCTGGTGCAGCTGTCATTGGCCCCAGCCCCACCCGTGCCACCCTGGGGACCAGCCTGAGTGCAGGGGCCACCGCCAGTGTTGGTTGCGCTGGGGAAAGGCTGCGAGAAGTGGGACTGGGGCCTGAGCTCCTGTGGGCAGAGCCTGCTGTAGGCCCCAGGAGACCCCAGGAGCTCAGAATTGGGCTGAGGCCACCGCCCCGCCTTGTGCACCCCAGCTTAGCCAGACACCCCGAGAACAGGGAATGAGAGGAGCCGCGGCTGCAGGCGGGCAGGGGCGAGGCTGAGTACAGGCGAGGCCTGCAGACACCGTCAGTGGGGGCACCGAGGGAGACCGAAGCCGCTGCCCAAGGAGGGGACTTAAGTTCCCATGGCCAGGCACACTGTTGTCACAGGCTCTAGAGACATGGTGCGCCCCCTCCCCTGCTGTTCTGCCTTCAGATGGGGACAGGGATCCCCCAGGGAGCCCCCGGGCCTCGGCTTCAGGACTGGGGGGCTTTTCCTACCTGTCTGCAGAGCAGCCGGCTGAGGCTGGGGGAGCGGGCTATGCCATGAGGGGGCAGGGCATGGAGACGGTCGCTACTCCGGGCTGGGGAGGACGCAGCCGAAGGGACCTGCAGGGCAGCGCAGGACTCTGCAGGCGGCGAGTGCGCAGAAGCCACCAGGCCTGGGACGAGAAGGCACTTGAACCGAGCCGCTGCTGCCCGGGCCACCCGCCCCACCTGCCTGGCCCTCGTCCTCTGGCTGCCACCGCGCGGGGCCGTACCCAAGGGGGCGCTGCCCACGTAGGTTTCCATCTCCACCTCCTGCAGCCGGTGGGGGTGAGGGGCCGAGGCGGGTGCCACAGGCCGGAACATGTAGCTGTCATTGGGCAGCGAGAGCATCCTGGACACGGACACCTTACGCACGACCAGGAGGCTGGGGGCATCTGGCCCGGCCCCCGGGCTCGGCTGGGCCACGGGCTGGGGGTGGGTGGGGGACCCCTGCGCCATCTCCAGCTCGAGCTCGGCATCCAGCTCGGCATCCTCGTGGGCCTCCTTGTTGCTCTCCTCCAGGTGCTTCATGAGCACGGCAACCACCACGTTGACCAGCACGAACTGGGCCACCAGCACGAAGGTGACGAAGTAGACGGGCGAGACGGCCGGCAGGTAGCTGAGGCAGTGCTTGTCCTCGCGGGCGCACTCCCGCAGCGTGTCCTGCGGGCCGACAGGGTGCGGGCAGGTTCTCATTTCCACCGGCAGGCTGCCCCGCAGACCCCACTACACTGTCCCCAGGCCAAGCAGTACCTTCATGATCCCATTCCAGTTGTCCCCCGTGGACACACGGAAGAGCGTGAGGAAGGCCATGCCGAAGTTGGAGAAGGTGGCATGCCGGCTCAGGCCCTCACAGGGGTTGTCCTCGCTGCACTCTGCAGGGGAGATCAAGCCTGGTCAGCCACACGCTCTGGGGGCCGTGCACACACGAGCATGACCCGTGGGCCCTGCACTGTCCCTTGTGCTCCTTGGGCACAGGGCAGTAGCTCAGAGCCCCTGGCAGGTGGGCGCCCGTAGGGGACACCTCTGGGGAGCCACATCCCTTCAAAGCAGAGTGTGGCAGCTCCTCCTCGGCGTGGGGGCTGCCTCGGGAGAGTGGCCTGGAGCCTGCCCTCAGATCTAGGGCTTTCTGGATGGACGCTGCCTCTGAGGATGCACAGGCCAAGCCCCTGGCACTAGTCTGGCGCTGGCTCAGCCCAGAGGAAGGCACTGCCTGTGCCCAGGCCCGCGGTTCAGATCAGCACACTCTCGGGCCCCTGCAGGGCAGTGAGGCTGCCCTGGGGCATGAGGCGTCCTGGACACTGGGCCAGGGGCCAGGAGGAGTCGGGCCTGGGGTCTTGGGCACCAGGTGCCAGGTCCCAGGAGTTCCCTCTGGGCAGACCCTGGGCTGTGACAGCCACCTCAGCCACTTCAGGGACAGGCCTGCTGGTGGCTCCTGGAAGCCACTGAGCATTCAGTGCCACCGAGTGTTCAGGAGACCCCGGCAGGAAGGGGAGAGGGACCCACGGGGACTGAGCTGCCCAGAGTGGCCAGAGCCTCAGGCCTGG